GTTCGTATCGTCGGCGAAGCCCGCTATACTAAGGTATAGGTACTCTCTCCTTAGGTCCTTATATAGTAATATAATATATAAGATAAATAGGACGGGCGATAGGGGGGACCTCTAGGGTACCCCCGCTATAACTAGGATATTGTCTATTACCTTCCTATCGAAGTAGAGGATTATAACCCTATCCGTTAGCTATTCCCGTACCTAGAGTACTATCTACTTTAGGTAGCCGAGCTCCTAGAGCGTAGCTAGTAGTCTAACGTAGTTAACTATATCGAAGGCTCCGGCGATATCTAGTTATAGGAGGGATACCGAGGCGCCTTAGCGCTATACCTCCTAGACCTAGGCTATAACTAGTCGGACCGCTAGCTCGGTCGATCTACTCGCCCGGTTACCTATCTACTCGGTAGGGAGCAGCCCGTAGACCTCCGCCGCCGCTATAATCCTTCTTGCTACTACTACCTCGATCACCTTCCCTATAGTTAGGAGCAGCGTAATAGGGCGGTAACCTCCTAGGGTATAGTATATATCGGGTGTCTTTCCTAGCTTCCGCAGGACTACCGTCTTAGCTCTCTTGAACGTAGCTAGGAACTATACTAGCTACAGGCACCTTGTGGTCAGGGCCGTAAGGATCTAGCTTAGCGGTCGGCCGTACGCCTTCAGGAATCCTATCGGGAGTATATCCTCCCCTAGGGCCTTCTATAGGCTCGCTTTATCCTATGCTACTTCTATCGCTAGGAAGCTTACAAGCTCCTGGACCTCGAACCCCTGTTCCTACTCCTCCTTAAGGTCTAGGTCCTAGATATCGCTAAGGTCCGCCCCCGGGCTTAGGAAGAACTTCTTCGTAAGTGCCTCCGCCTTGTTCTAGTACGTTGTTAGATCTAGGCTACCGTCTAGGCCCTTTAGGGCTAGGAGTTTTGGCAGCTTAGGGGGGAGGAAGCTCCTAAGCCTTACCTATTGCTCGAGCTACTATAGGGTCTCCTCCCTAGCTTCCTCGATTGTCTTCCTCTAGGAGCGCCTCTTTTCTTCCGCTATTTCCGTTACTAGCTCTTTTTGCTTCTCGTTAAGCTTCTCCTTATAGAACTACGTAAGGGTCCTCCGGAGCTCCCTCTCCGCCTCCTTCGCCGCCTTCGACGCCTCCTCTACCTTTCCCGTCTACTATAGGGAGCTCCTCCCCCTTAATTCCTTCCTCCTAGGGGCTATCGCGTAGGCGATAGCTATTAGCTCCGTAGCTAGCTCTTCGAACACCTCCTCTAGCCCCTTTCTTGTCTTGATCCTTACCTTTAGCCCCTCCGGTCCTCTATCGTTAAGCTATATCCTTAGTAGCAAGTACGCTACCTCTACCTTTATTAGCTTCTCTAAGACCTTCTTCTAGTTCTACCCTTCTAGCGCCTTCCCCCTTAGGAATAGGCTATCGAGCTTTACTTCGAGCACCTATAGGTAGTAGTCCGACCCTCCCCTAATCTTCTTCCCTAAATACATTGTCGTTAGGTCTATTAAGGCCTAGATATAGTCGATCGTTAACGTCTTACCCCTTTACTCTCCTATAGGGGTTCTTGTAACTATACCCTATAGGGTTTGTAGGCTTAGGTCCTACTTATAAGCTAGCTCAAGGAGCTCCTTAGACTTCCTCTCATATCGCCCGAACTTATCCTAGACTAGGTTCTAGAGGTTAAAGTCTCCCGCTAGGATTATAGCGTAGGCCGGGCCCCAATAGGCTAGGAGGCTCTTTAGGATAGTCTTATCTACCGTATAGTTGTTATATACTAACTAAAGCTCTAGACCCCTCCTCCCTAGCTCTAGGAACTATACCCTATACCACTACGCGCTTGCCTTATATTCCTACTATCCGATGTTAAACTTCTTATATACGTATATCGCCGCTTTTCCCTATTATATATAAACTAGGTAGTACTGTAAGCTCTAGGGGTAGTAGGCTACCCCCTGCTTACTAAGCTATAGTTCCTAGACCGCGATTATATCGAACTCCGCCTCCTCTAGTAGAATCTCTATATTCTACTTCATACCTCTAGTGTTCTAGAGTATAGTTTTAAAGATTATCCTCTCCGCTAGCTATACCTTTATCCTCTAGCTCGTTTTAGGTTAGGGGGATGGTTGCCGCTGCTAGTAGACCCTGGGGCTAGGTGTTCTATATACTTAGGACACTAGTAGCCTATATATCAGGTACTTCCTAGGCGCTTAGGGGTTCCGCCTAGGATCCTTGGGATCCCTGGCGCTATTGCTACGGTAGCGGCGGTCCCGACGCGAATAGGGCTATAGCTAGGCTAAACTATAGTCGGCTCTGCGATATATCCTTGCTTACTGTAGTAGGGCGGCCTTTTGGTGTTAGGAACCTAGGCCTCTTCGCTCTAACCCTCTAGTATCCCTCCCTATCCTCCTCCTCTACGCCTTGGCGTATAAACGCGAATAGTAGCTTCGCGGGCTCCGGTCTAGTAGGTTCGAATGTTCTAGGCCTATATTAGTACGCTTCCTTGGCCCCTTCCCGCGCTCTTACCCTCTCCCTACACTCCTTCGACTACCTAGTATGCTTTCTGCTATACGCTAGGTACCTTAGCGGGAGGTAGCCCTTGTAGGTAGGGCACTAGGCCTCTCCTTCCTTTCCTCCTACTCTATAGGCCCTTGCCCTATATCTTCTATATAGGGGTTCCTTTAGGTAGTACCTCTAGATATATCCCTACTTCTAGTACTTAAAGTACTACTTCGGCTCGAGCGCTACCTAGTATAGCTTATAGTCTAGTACTCGGGCGTCCTAGATAACTCCGAAGTTACACGCTACTCTCGCCTTGTCTTAGCTCTTGAAAGTCACTAGTACCGTCGCTCTCGTAAGCTCTAGCTTGCTAGGGATCCTGAACTTGACTGTATTTACTATACGGAAATCTAGTCCCTAGGCGAACTCCGCTTCGGTAACTCCCTAGATCTCTAACCTTGTTAGACCCTTTAGGAGCACCGCGAAGGTCCTATAGGCTTCCTTCGCTTGCTCCCCAAACGCTTGGTGGATCTACTAGTTGTTCTTAGTATACTATTCCTTTGCTACTTTATCCCTAAAGGTAATAATAGTGTCCCTACTAAGGAGCTTCCTTGTAGCGACTACTCCCTTCTATATAGACTGGTTGTTAATCGCCTAGATAATCTCTAGGGGGGTTCTCTTTATAAGGTTAGCTAGTAGGCCGTTACCTCGGACAAGGATTTCCTTAGCGATCCTTCGGGGGACCGCCTTTACAGGTTACGCTTAGGGCGCTAGGGCTCCTGCCGCGATCGTTACCTAGGAGCGGTTAGGACCCTATCCTACGCTCGTAGTAGCTAGGGCGCTTGTAAGCGCAGCCCGTACTTCCTCGGCGACGATCTTCCTTATAGTTATATAGTTAAGGCCTTCCGGGCCTCCTTTAGCGCTCTGCAGCTAGTTAATAGCGCTCTATACCTAGGCTAGGATCTCTCTCGCTACTCCCTAGGCGATGTTCTTCTTGTTTAGGCTAACCAGGGCGACTATACTATCGAGTATAGCCTTGATATCGCCTAATCCGCGTTGTTCCTAGCGGGGGGGGGGTTGGTGCTACTGCTATTGGTGTTAACGGGGGGGTTAGCGGTAGGTCTGCTGGTAGTTGCGGGGGCCGCTTAGGGGCGCTCCGCGGGGGGGTTCGGGTCCGTTATACTAGGACTCGGATAGGCCTCTCGGGGCGGGTAGGGTACCCCTAGTAGCAGGGGTAGGGGGGGGGAGGTTACTATCGACCTCTATACTAGGTCCGGTGTAGGCTATTGGGGCTAGCGCCGGGTGGATCCGTTGTGGATCCGGGTTGTAGGTCTGGGCGGTGTGGAAGAAGATTTCTAGGAGCCGTACGTAGCTCGTTTTCCCTATTTTCCTACGCCTGTAGCACCTGCGTAGCGTCTCGCGCGCAGATGCACCCGGTATGGTTAGATAGAGCTCGTCGGGAGCTTTCTAGCGATGTAGGTTTCGGCCGTTTTGGCGCGCTGCTGCACCAGTTGGTGCGGGCCTGTTTGCGAAGAAAGTTTTTTTTTTGCCTAGCTAACTACATAGCATGGCACATGACATAGCACATGACACAGGCTGTGCCTGTGACAGATAGCTACGTAGTTAGGTAGTCTAGTTAACCGAATAGTCGCGAAGTATCGACAACGTATAAGCAGCGGGAGTAAGTAAGTTAATAAACTCCTAAGATTAGTAGCTAGACCTTAAGAAGGCCCTTATTAGAAGCCCTTACTCCGCCTAGGCCTAGACATTCTTGATCTAGTACTATAAGGAGATCGATAATAACTAGATCTTTCCCTAAGAGGTCTTTAACGACCTATCCCTAGAAATTACCTAGCTAGATAAGCCAAAGGCGAAACGCCTAATCTAAAAAGGGGCCTACGCTACTGCTTCGTTTAGCGGTATTATCGAATCGGACGCCTAAGAACTAGAACCGCCTAAGTCACCCTCTATAGCTAAAGTAAAGCTAAAGAAGGTAAAGAAGTAACTATTACTAAAGGCGAAGGCGTAGGGATAGGGATATAAACGCGGATTTATAGGAGGATAATTATTAGGATACTAAGCCTATAGACCTTTCTACTTCCTCGATAAAGGCTTCTATATCTTCCCTAAGCTCGCCTACTCGAAGTAAAAGCTAATCGAAGAGATATAGGAGAAGGTAAAGGAGGCGCTAAAGAACGACAAGAACCTCCGTAAAGAGGTAGAGAAAAAGAAGAAGAAGGAGGCTTATAATATAGAGGGATAGTCGCTAGTATAATAATAACTAAGGAGGATTACTAGTATCGAGGCCGTTTTTGTATATACTTAAGGAGCTCTCTTAACTACCTATTACCCTCTATATAACTCGGTTATTCTCGATTCTAGTACTACGAACTATATCTTTAACTAATCCTATAGACTAGTTAAATTCTAAGCGGTAGAAGAAGGAGATACTATCTAGGCAGGAGACCGACTCTTACCTATTAGCGGATATAGCGATATAGTTATTAAAGTTACTAGGGGAGTGGTGTAATGGGAGTGTGTTGCACCTAGAAGCCGCAAGGCTGTCGGTTCGAATCCGGCCTCCCTCACCCTCTTTTCGGTTTTTTAGGATTAGTCCCCTGTAAATTCCAACGAGAGTTACACTAACCAAAGAAGGAAAACCCAAGGAATAGCCGTTGTCTTAGAGACTAGGATCTAGGCCCCTACGTTATATATTATTTATTTGTACTCCGATATGCCTTACAGCGCGCCGGTCCTGCTTCTGGTTTATATACAAAGGAAACTGTACCCCCTGAACAGGGGGCCGGGTAAAAACCCCTGCCTACGCTTCTGCTTCAGCGCTTTGAATCCATTATACTACGTGTTAAAGGTAGCCCCTATCTACCTTAGCGGCTCGATTCGGCACTTCCTGTACCCTCTCCGCTGCTCTTAGCCGCTTTCGCGGCTATCGTAGCTTCTAGTTGCAGCCTACGAGCTACGCTATACTCCGTTAGGCGCCCCGAATCCATCAACCAGCTAATAACCACCTTTACTAAGCTCTTGTATAGCTATATAGCTCGTCGTAAGACGAGCTGCAGATCCTGTCGTAACTGTATTTGTAACTCCTCCTAGGTTCTATACTTCGGTGGATCTTTGCACTATACTACTAGGTGTTCGATCGTTTCTTTGCCCTCGCTATACTCGTAGTACGGCGTAGTAATCTCTAGGACGTTCACCCTATTTAGGTACTCCCGGAGGCTAATGTCCCCGCTACGCGCCTAGGCGAGTAGGGAGCTCTAAGCCTTGCTCAGACCCTCGTGTCTCTTAAGGGCAAGGTCTATAAATAGTTATATCGGGGGGTCCTTATCTGCCGAGCGGTATATAGGTCTTCTTGCTCTCGTTACAAGCGCGGCGCGCCTCTCCCGGGCCGCTATCTCGCGCTCCTGCCAGGCGAGTTCCACTACTCCATCCGTGTTAAGGGTCTTGTTCTTCAGCTTCCCTATCTTCCACTTTTGCTTGGCCCACTCGTTTGCTACGGCTACTGCTCTCTCGACCGCCCCTACGTTATATACCGATTAGTAAGAACCTTATATTACCTACTATAGGATAAAAACAATCTAGCTATAGTAGCTAGGGACTAGTAAACGACCTAGGGTAGAAGCTAAACTACCTAATAAAATACTACTAGGGGCCCCCCCTAGAAGAAACTAGACTAAAGGAAGGAAAAGCGGAAGAAAGAGGAGATTATTAGCTACCCTAGAACTAATTATATCTAACAAAGGGAGTAGGTAGGGTTAGAGAAGGCTAGGGTATTATATAGTATAAAGGAAATAGAAGCGGGGAGATTAAATCGAAGAGTAGAGGTTTTTATCTAGCCTAGCGAGGGTACGGTTTCCTATACTAAACAAACTAGTAGAAGGACCGGCGCGCCGTAAGGCATATCGGTATACGAATAAATAAATAAAATATTAAAGTTACTACGTCTACTAGCAAGCTACGGACCCTTAACCTCTATAACGTTATATACTATAAGTAGCTAGTATATAGCTTAACGTTACTCTGAATACTTCGCGAGAAAGGGATCTATTAGGATAACAAACCTACTAAAACAATCCTATAGTAGTCCGACGACTTGGAGATTTATATAGTACTAGAAAGAGAAGGCTAGTTTGTACTCGAATATAACCTGCTACTAACAAGTACTAAGATCATAGTATTAAACTAGGGTAGATAGCTCTTGGCTAGAACAGGGGGGTATTCGTAGTATATTTTTCGTTTTTTAACTGCTTGCAGCGCTATACGTTGTTTTGCAGCTATATATATAGCTAGTCGGACCGCCCGCTTAGGCAGACAACAACACTCTTAGGACCTTAAAATCCCCCCCTAAATTTGGCACTTTTGGCTCCAAGCCTTCCCGCTGCCTCTAGGCACGTGTTTTATAGTGACAATTGTTCGCCTTCCTCTGAATAGAGGGAGACATATGTCCGGAGGGCGATATCTTGATTAGATCTGTTGCAATTAAAGTCCGAAGATACGTCGGCAACCTAGGTCGCTCGCTACTTGTCTATCCCTACTACGTTCTTGCCCTCTATATAGCTAGTAGCTTGGTTTGTAGTTTGCTCTAGTTTAGTATTCATTATAGACCGCAAGAGGTTTAATACCTAGATAAGAAGAAGACTATAGCTTGTTAACGCTAAGATCTAATATTATTAGCTTCCCTATCCTAGTCTAGAAACGCTAAACTACCTATAGAACGCTACTAAAGGTATAAGGATTAAAGGAGTTAAGAAGAGGGTAGAAGACGCCTCTCGATAACTAAGTCGCTACAAGCGCTATAGAGTAGCTAAGCTAGCTAAAAAGAAGGCTAAAGTAAGCGACTAACAAGACAACTTAGACTTGGAATTAGAAGATAAGTTACCTACGGAAGACCCTAATACTAAATGCCTTAACCCTAAGTGCCTATCGTTAAGTAACAATAGTAAAATTAGCTTTAAGGGCCCTTTAGGTATAGTAAAGTGCAAAGCCTGTAGAAAAGCAAAGATAAAGCGGCAAATTCGCCGTTAGAAGAGAGACCTTAGAAGATATAGCGTAGGAGAGTAGATCGCCCTTAACTTCTACAACTTCGAACGAGACAAGGAAGGTTTCTCGAGTATAATGCTAATTATAGATAGAATCTCTAGGTTCCTCTAGATCTACTTTATAATAGTTAAACGAGATATAGCAGATATACTATTAGTACTAAAAGATTCTATTGCCTCTATAGACCGCTAGTAGAATATTAAAGTTAAGGTAGTAGAGAGCGATAATAAGATTATAATTAAGTTCCCTAGAGTTAAGACTTAGCTTTAAATGTAATAGATCTAGGTCGAGCCTTCGCCCCTTGATACTTAAGATCTTAACGGAGTAGCCGAACGCTTAGCGGGCGTAGTTAAGAACGTAATAAGAGCCCTAGCGATTGGCGCTAATATACTAGACGCCTTTTAGAGGGAGATTATAACTACGGTAGTCTACCTACTTAACTTTACCCTAAGAAAACGAATCCGCTAGCGCACCCCTTTCGAAGTCTTTCGTAACGCTACCTCCCTTAAAGTCTTACGAAGTATATTAGGTATAGTGAACTAGAGCAAACTATAAACCAACCTACTCTATAGTATTAGGTAAGACTATAGTAGGGATAGACAAGTTAGTAAGTATCTATAGTTGCTAACGTATCGTCGGACTTTAATTACAATAGATCTAATTAAGATATTGCCCTTTGGATATATATCTCCCCTTGTTTAGAGGAAGGCAAGTAATTGTTACTATAAAATATATGCCTAGAGGTAGCAGGAAGGCTTAGAGCTAAAAGTGTTAAATTTAGGGGGGGATTCTAATATCCTAAGAGTGTCTTCGTCTACCTAAGTAGGCGGGCTAACTAGCTATATATACAACTGCGAAAAACAACGTATAGCGCTACAAGTAGTTAAAAAACGAAAAGTCTACTACAAATGCCCCCTTGTTCTAGCTAAGAGCTATCTACCTTAGTTTATACTTCCCTTTCGAGTTTACTAGGGCTCCTGCCTAAGAACTTACAAAACAAAAGAAGACTCTTATCTATACCCCTTAATGTCCCTGCTCTTAGCGGCGAGCCCTCTTAGCGCGACTTAGCTACTAATCCTATACTTACGCACTCTGCTAACGGCGCGAAAGCTCTTTAGCTTGTCTGTTAATATCGTCCTACCTAGCGAACTATAGTATATATATTTATTTATTTATTTATTCGTACACTAATATACCTTATAGCGCGCCGGTCCTTCTACTAGTTTGTTTAGTATAGGAAACTATACCCTCGCTAGGCTAGATAAAAACCTCTACTCTTTGATTTGATCTCCCTGCTTCTATTTCCTTTATACTATATAATACCCTAGCCTTCTCTAACCCTACCTACCCCCTTTATTAGATATAATTAGTTCTAGGGTAGCTAATAATCTCCTCCTTCTTCTACTCTTCCTTCCTTTAGTCTAGTTTCTTCTAGGGGGGGCCCCTAGTAGTATTTTATTAGGTAGTTTAGCTTCTACCCTAGGTCGTTTACTAGTCCCTAGCTACTATAGCTAGATTGTTTTTATCCTATAGCGGGCAATATAGGGTTCTTACCGATTAGTATATAACGTAGGGGCCTAGATCCTAGTCTCTAAGACAACGGCTATTCCTTGGGTTTTCCTTCTTTAGTTAGTGTAACTCTCGTTGGAATTTATAGGGGACTAATCCTAAAAAGCCGAAAAGAGGGTAAGGGAGGCCGGATTCGAACCGATAGCCTTGTAGCTTCTAGGTGCAACATACTCTAATTACACCACTCCCCTAATAATAATATATATTATTTATTCGTACTCCGATATGCCTTACGGCGCGCCGGTCCTGCTACTGGTTTATATACAAAGGAAACTGTACCCCCTGAACAGGGGGCCGGGTAAAAACCCCTGCCTACGCTTCTGCTTCAGCGCTTTGAATCTATTATACTACGTATTAAAGGTAGCCCCTATCTCCCTTAGCGGTTCGATTCGGCACTTCCTACACCTTCTCCGCTACTTTTAGCCGCTTTCGCGTCTATCGTAGCTTCCAGTTGTAGCCTACGAGCTACGCTATACTCCGTCAGGCGCCCCGAATCTATCAACTAGCTAATAACCACCTTTACTAAGCTCTTGTACGGCTATATAGCTTGTCGTAAGACGAGCTATAGATCCTGTCGTAACTGTATTTATAACTCCTCCTAGGTTCTATACTTTGGTAGATCTTTGTACTACACTACTAGGTGTTCGATCGTTTCTTTGCCCTCGCCGCACTCGCAGTACGGCGTAGTGATCTCTAGGACGTTCACCCTGTTTAGGTACTCCTGGAGGCTAATGTCCCCGCTATACGCCTAGGCGAGCAAGGAGCTCTAAGCCTTGCTTAGACCCTTGTGTCTCTTAAGGGCAAGGTCTATAAATAGTTATATCGGGGGGTCCTTGTCTACCAAGCGGTATATAGGTCTTCTTGCTCTTGTTATAAGCGTAGCGCGCCTCTCCTAGGCTACTATCTTACGCTCCTGCTAGGCGAGTTCTACTACTCTATCCGTATTAAGGGTCTTATTCTT